ATTTTTTTTTTTTTTTTTTTTTTTTACAATATAATTATTGGGAGGAAACTTCACACTCAGAGACAAGAGCATAAACAAACTCCCTCTTAATTAAATTAAAAAATAATTTTCGCATGAAATCAAAAATCAAAGACCTCTCATTCAAAAGTATCTCATATTTTTACATTTTTCAAATATATTAACATTATTAAAAAGTAAGATTGAACCTGATTTAATTTTATTAAATTAATTTATATAATAAAATTATCTTTTATTTATATACTTTTTAATTATTTTATTTTTAATCAATATGAAACTTAAATTTTTCATCTTTATTTTTATCTCTTTGATTTTTTTTTTCAAGATATCCATGCTAAAATTAATTTTATTAGTCTATACATGTGTATAGTTGGCAATCGGCAATCGCATGTCCACTGAGCTACGGGGCGGTAAGTAAAGGTGGCTGACTAAAAGTCGTTTTTTTTTTTTTTTTTTTAATAAAAAAAAATCATTAATGTATTCTCTTTCTTAAAACATATGTAAAAAAATCGTTACCATTTTTCTAATTATCAATACTTTTTTTACTTAAATTATAAACTCAAGTTATAAATTCTCATTATAAAAGAATTATTATATACCGATACATATTTTATATGAATACAATATTTGTCACTAAAAAATATTTTTATTTACATTATAAATATAATATATGTTATCCTGCCTTGTGTATGCAGCCATGTTAAATTTTAGGGCCAGTTATCCCATTTTTTGAGGTGCCTCTAACATAACAAGGAGATTAGTCACTACTATCGGCGATGAATACTCCAAGGGCAAACAAAAAAAAGAAGAAGATATAATATATGTTGACATATAATTAAAAAAATATAAGTATAAATTATAGTACTATATAATATATGTTGATAGATTTTATTTAAAATCAATATTAAAATTGTGTATAGATATATGTCAAATAGATTTAGATTTATATATATTATATCTATTGTAACATTTTTTTGTATATCACTATATATCACTTTTTTTGTAGTAACTTATACTTTTGATTTGATAATTATTTTTATTTTTCACTTGTTTCATGGGTCATTATTAGACAAGTGTAATTTTTTTTTGCAAATTTTTCTATAAAAAAATATTTGCTGATTTTTTTTTGCAAATTTTCTTGTAATCTTAATTTTACAATTTTTTTTACAAATTTATTTGTAAAAAATAATTTACAAAAATTTCTTACAAATATTTTTATGAAAAATAATTTATAAGAAATTTTTTGCAAATTTTGCTACAATTTTAATGATCATAAAATTTTTTCCATGATAAAAATTTACAGAAAATGTTGTAAAAATTTATTTTGTTTCATGCAAATTTTCTTGTAAAAAATAAATTTACAAATAATGTTTAATAAATGGAAGAAAATTTTGCAAGCAACTTCTTTTCTTTGAGTTTTCCTGCCAATTTTATTCTTTAGGAAAAATAAAAAAATGTTTAAATTTATAAGTTTAATAATTAAAATACTTTTAATTAAAAATGTTAGTTTACTAAATTATTTATAAATATATCATTATAATTAATTTTTATTTTTATTTTAATTAAATTAAATATATAAAATTTTATAAATATGATAAATCAATGATAATGAGTTTTAATTTAATGATAATTTATAAAATTTTGAAATTAAAAGTATTTACTTAGTAAAATATCATTTTAATAAATAATTTATAAATATTTCATAAAAAATAATTTTAATTTAAAATATTAATAAATTAAATATTTATTTTAATTAAATATATAAATTTATGATGATGAGTTTTAATTCAATGATAGTTTTTAAAATAATATTATTTAATAAAAAATTAATTTTTTAGAATATTAAATATTTTAAGAGTTAAAATAATTTATCATAATATAATTTTGTAGTTCAATATAATGAATTAATTCTCTTCTAAAGACATGATCTAATTAATATTTAAAGAAAATCTCAAGTTTCACATCAATTTAAAAATAAAACAATTAAAGAGTATATAAGTTGGGATAATACTCACTTTACAAGTTGATTTTATATGCTTCAGTATTACACTTATAATCTATAATCTAAGAGTGTAAAAGGTTATGCATTACATGTTCGAGGCGTGGAATCAAATTTCTTAATGTTTAGGATGAATTCATTGTGAGCATTTAAAAGTTGAAGAATTATTAATAGAATTTACACAAAAATTAACTCTGAATTTTAAATTTGCAATAAGATTTCTGCAATAATTTCTTTGATTTTTCGTTAGAAATTTTCTAGCAAGATTTCTTATGAAAAAATTTGTAGAAAATTTCGCAAGAAACTTTTGTTGCGATTTTTTTTTTTGCAATTTTTTTTTTTATAAATTTTAAAATTCACAAAAATATATTTTTCACAAAGATATTATTTAAAGAAAAAAATTTGCATGTAAAAAGAAAAATTTTAGTAGTGGGTATGAACATGTTTGATTGAAGTATGTTTTCTCTCCGCCCATAAAGTAGGTGTTAGTATAGATATGTTCTAAAAAAAAAAGTTTTACGGGCTGTTGTTGAGGAAATTGCTATGAAGTAGGAATGAAGAACACTGACGTGCATAGAGACAAACGAAGACTTGCTACAATTATCTTATCTTGAGGAATTTTCTATGATGGAAGATGACCGTATAGAATATTGACAAACGAAGACTCTGAATCAAACAAAATAAAATAATCAAAATAAAAACGAACACTTGTTTTTTTCCCCTTGATTTTGCCTGTGGTGGAATAAGATGCAAACAAGAGGTGTTCATCAACTTATCCAAATTCAATAAAAGTTGCTAATTGCTATAACCTAAACGGTCTAAACCACAAAAACTGTAAACTAAAAAGAAATTTTTCATTAGTTTCAACCAATTTTCGGTTCATATATACGTTCGTAAACGATCTAATTCAAACTAACTTCATATATACGAATTTGTAAAATTATTTTCAACTTACAATTCAAATTTATATTTTGAACTACGTTGTAAGTTATATATGCATGATGTCCGTATGTTATGTTTGATGGTGAATTAATTTCTGAATTTTATGATTCATTTTAACATTTGTAAGTTTTTGTTTGAAAAA